ACAGAAGCAGAGACTTTAAGGATAATAAGCCCTGTAGGTTACTGGGACATAGTTTGAGGAATGCTGTTCCAGTGTAAGCCAGGGCCACTGAAAACCTAGCGGCTTCTAAATGGTCAATTGTTGTTTGTCTAAACTCCGCTCTCTATATAGATGACAATCACAAACCATGACACCCTATCTCTGCCTAAAACCCTTCAATAGCCTCCCAGTGAACTTTCAAATACCTTATCATAGATAAGAACTTACCTGTCATTTTGTGATTGTGGCCAAATTACTTAAATTCTCATAATTCCGGTTTCCTCAATCATAAAACTTGTATCATAATCATGATACGAGAGTAATTTTTAGAATCAAATGGGGTAATGTTTGTGAAAGTGACTAATGACAACTCTAATTTGCATGCTAATTCATATCAAGTGCTCTGCCAAGCTCTTTAAACAAGCTACTGCTTAATTTCTATTTGCTTTTGATAGTATCATTCCCATTTTGCAAAAACTGAGAATGAGGGTTTAAGAAACCTATAAGCATTAGAACTGAATTTTCAAACTTAAAAAGGGCTCTCACCCTTAACTACCACTGCTATTGCTTCTGAAATGCAAACACAGATTGGACTACAGGATGGGTGTTCTCCACATGTAAGCTTGTCATTCAATCAAGCACCTAATTCTTTATACACTGCGCACCACCACCAGGCACTAATGACTGTCTGCTACACTCTGTTCCACTGAACATTTCTTAAGTTTTGTCTCTTGATGGAAAAATATCCCAAGTGGCTCAGAGAAGGCAAGTAAAATGATCACAACTTCAAAAATCACTCACATAGCTGCCTACACAATACCTTACTAATTGTTTTTATTCCACTTGGAAAATGTCACTGATATACTGCCTTTTTGGTAATTAGTTCTATGCTATGTGATGTGCTGAAGCAGAAAGAACATGGCTTTATTTGGTGTCAAATAGTCTGGGGCCCCAGGACTCATCTCTGCCATTGGCTGACCATGGACTTCTCTTAGTACAGTTCCTCATCTATACATTGGGGACAAAAAATCTACTGCTTAATGTAGCATGAGGCTCATTCTGTGGCACATCACATACATTAAATAAAGGTCAGTTCCTTTGTTGTCCTCATTTTGCCTCATCCTTTCAATATTCCCCACTTCTGAAAGCATGCAGAATGCCTCTTATTTTGTATTTGATTAAAGCTTTCTTGAAAGAATGGGGCCTGTGTGTTGAAATGAAAGATGCACGCCCAGGTAATTATCTGGGATGTGACAAGTTTATGTCAGGGATGCATCACTGTAGAGGAAGTCCAAGAACTGTGCTTTTGGAATTGTACGTAGAGTCCGTTTATGAGTCAACTGAGTAAAGCTGCTTTATCTCTCTGTGAAGTCTTTGACAAAAAAGAAATACGTTTATACGCGTTTTACCATGCTCCTATTCATTATCATGGGTCCAGATGACCTTATTATTTCTAAAGAACAAAATTACCACAAAAAGGCCGGCGCCGCGGCTCACTAGGCTAATCCTCCGCCTTGCGGCACCGGCACACCGGGTTCTAGTCCCGGTTGGGGCGCCGGATTCTGTCCCGGTTGCCCCTCTTCCAGGCCAGCTCTCTGCTGTGGCTCGGGAAGGCAGTGGAGGATGGCCCAGGTGCTTGGGCCCTGCACCCCATGGGAGACCAGGAAAAGCACCTGGCTCCTGCCATCTGATCAGCGCGGTGCGCCGGCCGCAGCGCGCCGGCCGCGGCGGCATTGGAGGGTGAACCAATGGCAAAGGAAGACCTTTCTCTCTGTCTCTCTCTCACTGTCCACTCTGCCTGTCAAAAAATTAAAAAAAAAAAAATACCACAAAGGGATAAAAAGTTGAAGTCAGGAAACGCATTAAGAAATAACTCCGGTCAGCGCCGCAGCTCACTATGCTAATCCTCCGCCTTGCGGCGCCGGCACACAGGGTTCTAGTCCCGGTCGGGGTGCCGGATTCTGTCCCGGTTGCCCCTCTTCCAGGCCAGCTCTCTGCTGTGGCCAGGGAGTGCAGTGGAGGATGGCCCAAGTGCTTGGGCCCTGCACCCCATGGGAGACCAGGATAAGTACCTGGCTCCTGCCATCGGATCAGCGCGGTGCGCCGGCCGCAGTGGCCATTGGAGGGTGAACCAACGGCAAAGGAAGACCTTTCTCTCTGTCTCTCTCTCTCACTGTCCACTCTGCCTGTCAAAAAAAAGAAAAGAAAAGAAAAGAAATAACTCCAAGGATGAGGCCCTACTGTGCATGCCCCCTCATTTGGATTCATGTGTTCAAGTTCATATGTTTTAAAACTTACATAAAACCTAGCTGCACAAAAACACTGCAATGAGTTCAATGGGATTTGATGTATACTCCTGTTAAGATAATACTATTCTGGAAGAAATCCTTTAGGTTACTATCTGGAAATTTTTCAGACAGAATTCACTATCAGTAATAGAATTTTGAGTGTGCGCCCAAATTTATGTATAGTGACTTACTGATAAATTTATATATTCTTTAATTATAATCATATGCATATATGATAAGACTACAAATTTACATCTACCAACAATTCAGATGTTAAAATCCCAACCCTAAATGTAACGGCATTAGGAGGTAGGATCTTTGAGAGGTAATTAGCTTGTAAGTTGAAACCCTTATGAATGGACTGGTGTTCTTATTTATTTATATATTTATTTATTTTTTATTTTTGACAGGCAGAGTGGACAGTGAGAGAGAGAGACAGAGAGAAAGATCTTCCTTTGCCGTTGGTTCGCCCTCCAATGGCCGCCGTGGCCAGCGTGCTGCCGCCAGCGCACCGCGCTGATCTGAAGGCAGGAGCCAGGTACTTATCCTGCTCTCCCATGGGGTGCAGGGCCCAAGCACTTGGGCCATCCTCCACTGCACTCCCTGGCCACAGCAGAGAGCTGGCCTGGAAGAGGGGCAACCCGGACAGAATCTGGCGCCCCGACCGGGACTAGAACCCTGTGTGCCGGCGCCGCAAGGCAGAGGATTAGCCTAATGAGCCACGGCTCCAGCCAAGGACTGGTGTTCTTAAGACACACACACACACACACACACACACACTCACACACGGGCTTGCTTTTTTGATCTTTGCTTTCTACCACATGAGGACACAGCAAGAAGACAAGCCCAAGAAGCAGGCACTCATCAGAGCCTCCTGGATCATGCCTTCCCTGCTTCCAGAAGTCATCTAGTCTATGATAATTTGTTTTCAGAGCTACAGCTAAGACAATTTGTAAAGCATGTTTATATGAACCAGATAATATTAAATAATGAATGTGATAAACAAATATGTATGTGTATTCCTTAAAATATTTTCATTCCTGATGCTAGTCTAGGACTTTGTGTGTCTGGTACATTTGTGCATATATTCTACTTTAGAAATAAATGTCTTGGATGATGGTTTTGAGAAAGAGACCAAGATTCTTTCTTATAAATGGTTGTTTAAAAAATATTGCTACGCAGGTACTTCAAAAGTGCCTTAGAAAAAGCTTATGGAAGATGGAATGCAGAGTTGTTTATTTTGCTGCTAAAGCATTTTAAAAATTATTTATTCATTTGTTCATTCATTCATTTATTTGAAAGGCAGAATGATAGGAGGAGCATTGAGTGGGGAGAGACAGACAGAAAGATAAATTCTGCATGCTTGTTCATTCCCCAAATGTCTGCAATGACTGGTCCAGGCTGAATCCACTTTGGTCTTCATATGGGTAGCAAGAGCCCAAGTACTGCCATATTCTGCTGCTTTCCCAGGAATATTAACAAGCAGCTGGATCAGAAGCAAAACAGCTGGAACTCAAAACAGCACTCTGATATGGACATGTGATGCTGGAGTAGTAAGCAGCAGCTTAACTCATTGTGCCACACCAACCCCATGTTTTTTTTTTTAATCTATGCACACTAGAGGTGTTTATAAAGTTTATGAAAACTAGACTTTGAAAAAACTATTAATGGATTTCAAAAATTTGGCACCATAATATATTTTCTTTTCATTCCATTTCCTATGAATTGTTTGAAGTCGTCTGTTCAACATCCATCACCTAGACCAAAAATCAAATGACAATGCAGATTCATGCAAAGTACAAGAATACATGTGACATACGTGAATGCAATTTGCCATTATTTGTCTAGAAGACAAAGCTTAATACAGCTCCCAAAAACTGCATGCTGAACTGCCAAAAGACTACCAAATAAGGTGATACTATAAAGACAAAGTAAGGTTCTTCTGTGAGTGTGATACATACAGCAACCCAAATTAGGTACAACTTTGAATACAGTAATCAAAAGCAGGCCAGTATAGTATGAACTGACCACTACAAAATAATAAATCCTCAAAGACATAAACAGTAATGGCCTAAACAACTGTGCTTCAGGTGGAAAACCTGTTGCAGCTGCATCAGTCTTTGGAGAAGTGCTCACACAATTGAGTGACAAACTGTTATGAGAAGTTAAGAAGTTAAGAAAACAATAGCAAGAGAGCAAGGAAGGGAGGTAACAAGAACACCTGCCATTGAGTGTGTGTATGTGAAGGGCTGCTATCCCCTCTCACTGATCATTTATTTACTCCAGTTATAGAAAAAACACCTACATTCATAATTCCAAAGGATGAGTCAGCCAAAAGAGTACTTACTTATTTCACTTGGCATGATATAGCAATATTGGGTACAACAAATTAGCTCAGTTTCTGAAATGTTCCCTTGTTAAGAGAAAATATATGATTCTATAACGTTCTAAAGGTTGCTTCAATTTACTAATATTTTTCAAAAGCAGTTATTTGAGAATAAGTAATTTTTATCTTGGTGTAGAAATCTCATTGTCATTCTGAAGAAAGTAACTCAATTTCTAATTAGCTAAAGAACAACAAGCCACTGGAATATATAACAGATTGCAATAAAACATTTAAAAGTATTTTAAATGGCCCTTGATTTTTGAACAAAATAAATTTGAACAAGATTTCCTGGAGTCTTGCTTCTTTACCTTGCCATACTTCTGTGCATAAGACCCTGTGAGCAGTGAGTGAAAGACAATGATGGTTTCATCCAAGTCCCAGACAAAAACACGCTGAAAGTAACAATAACAACAAAAAATCAGGATCAGAAGTTAGGAAGTTTAAGGAACATAAACTTTTTTATAAGGTAAAAATCACCTTTCTTCTTTATTAGATAAAATCCCAATACTATTTCCTAGAACATTATTGTACTCTGTTAATTTTTTTAATTTGACAAATCTCACTCCTGTAAAATCCAAGGAATGAAAACAATATTAATAATAAGAATAGAAGTCAGATGTTCTAATTTGAGTGAATTAATCCAAATGTTTACTTGTAGTTAACTGAAAAAAGGATACATTCAGAGATTATAATAGACATATGCTTGAAATTGTGCATTCTAAAGTTGTGTATCTCATGGATTCATGGAATTTTGCACTTTACGCAAAGAAATAAGTTTTTTAAATATTTAAGAGAATCAATGATTAACCCCTACATGGAAATCTCAAACTGTGGAGCCTTGGTCAGATTAGGATATATGATTTGTTATTGGGCCTAAATGGAGTTTTGAAAGATTTTAAAGTTTATTGATCAATACTCCAAAATTAGAAGATGTCATACAAGGTTCAGGGGTCTGACTGGAGCACAGAACCTGATGCAGTGGCCATGCTGACGGACATCTCCTGCAGTAGTGGTGGGTGGGTCCCTCCAAGGGAGTGAGTGCTCCCTACTCCCAACAGTATGCTGGCTCCCTAGACAGGTCATTCATTTATAACACCTTCTAGGCTCTAGGAAACATTTAGATTTGCTACTCTTCAGATAAAGAACATTATTTCTTACGAAGAAGTACAATGTTTATTAGTTGATTTTATTAAATCTGTAAATTTAACTTTTTTAATTGAAGAATAGAGTTGTATAAAAATAATATTTTGGTTAAAAATAGCTTCTCCTGATATTGTGTAATAAAAATCAACCTGTTTATTATGGCTACATCTCAAAAAGGTTTTGAATGAGAAAAAAGGACATATACCGGAATTTTCAAAGATACAAATATTCAAAGATACAAATATGGATCAAATGACTGAAATCCTTCCTATTTTCATATGACATTTCCTTTCATATAGAATGACTTTACCTTTTACATGACCCAAATACATGACATGCCTTACTTTAATACTACCAAATACAATGTTTCTCAGAACACTATTCCACCAACAATGCCTGTATTTTTCAAATGTGTTTGTTCCAATTTGGATCAAATGCTGCAATTATATCAGGCCTAGAATTTGTGAAGCATTGCCATTTTTTAGCTACTTTTCAAAATTTTGCCATTATAGTAGATATTTGGTCCACTCAATTCATGCATGGTGCATCTTTTTTTTTTTTTTAAGTTTGGAACTTATGGAAACGGTAAGGTACAGAATATATCATCATGTTACATTCTTTAAGAATAAGCAGGCATACCTCCAGGTCACTATCCGGAGGTGGGGAAGGATTATTTTTCCGGCCTCTTCCTCGGGACTTTGACCCAGAACTCCTACATGTTCTCTCATCCAGATCTTTGATAGGTGTGGAAGGGCTCTGCACGGCTTCAAACTCTCCTATAAATGACAAAACTTGTGTCAAGACCAGTACTTCATTTTTAGGTCAGGTATGAATCTTCATTGTTGATTATCTTCACAAATTCCTGTGTAGCAGAAACTGCCTTATGGCAAAATAGTTTTGTGACCCCAAGCACACAAAATTCTGATTCAAAAAGTTTGTAGGTCAAATAAATAGAACCCCTAGTAATAAACTCTATGTTCTATTAAACCTGAGTGTTTTTATATTATACATATCTTTAATGTCCTATCTGTGCTCCCATCTATATATTTATGTACATTCAGATCTATCCTCAATCTCTATTTAAAGAGTTTCTTATACTGATTAAACATGACCCTATTTCCTAGTTCACTCCTCAAACATCTGTAAAGGCTATGTTTGGGCTGAGGCCACTATCAGAAGCTGGGAACACAATCCAGAACTCTTCCTGGTGGCAGGAACCCAATCAACCCAATCATCTGAGCATCAACACTGCCTCCCAGGTTGACATTAGCAGGAAGGTAGAGTGAGGAGCTGCAGTCAGGTATCCAACCAAGGAACACTGATGTGGGAACGAATGTAGGTATTTTAACCCCTAGGCTAAATGCCTCCCTTCCTCACAACATTTTTGTCACAGTTCAGAAAATGAAATGTCTTCTGGATCAACCCCATCCCTCCACCTGAAAACTTGATTCCAAACCCTACCTCTTAGAAAATCATGCCTCATTAGTGAAACTCCCTGTAATACTCACTTCAACTTCTTCCCTCTCTAGGGGCTGCCAAAAGTTTAAAATCCTTCCTTCAAAATCACACATGCAATCACAGTTGTGGCTCTTATTATACATCTATGGGAACAAGACTGGTAGACACTATTCAATTAAGGATTTTCTTTTAGAAGATAGCCAAAGTAGATGAAATGCTTGGTCCAAAGAAGGACTGTATACAGTGCCGGACAGAATATTTGTCTCCCCTTCTTGATATCTGATTTGCCAAAATCTAGCTTCAGTTCACCAAGCCCTAAAAAAAGTAGCAGGGATAATTCTTCTATTCAAATGCACTGGGATTCAGCAGCTGTGAAGTAAGGAGGCAGAAAGAGCTTAAGAGCAAAGTGAAAATATCTGGCTATGGAGTGTCTGGAGTGTCTGAGCTTTCACAGACAAGATTTCATTCACAGAGGGGCTGGCCCTGTGGCGTAGTGGGCTAAGCCTCTGTGTGTGGTGCTGGCATCCTGTGTGGGCGCCGGTTCATGTCCTGGCTGTTTCTCTTCTGATCCAGCTCTGTGCTATGGCCTGGGAAAGCAGTGGTCTCCCTGCACCAGCATGGGAGATTGTGAAGAAGCTCCTGGCTCCTGGCGTAGGATTGGCCCAGCTCCAGCCATTGTGGCCATTGCAGCCATTTGGAGATGGAAGACCTTCCTCTCTGTCTATCCCTCTTTCTGTCTGTAACTCTACCACTCCAATAAATAAATAAAATCTTTAAAAAAGAAAGAAAGAAAGAAAAGTGCCTTGAAGGATAACTCTGTTGTTAAAAAACAGCCCAGAACAATTGTCTGATCTTTCCTTCATGGGCTTACAATTTCACCATGTACACGTATTGTGCTTTTTGCATTCTGTTGATAGACTTTTAGACTACTATGAATAAAGCTGCTATATACATTCTTCTACCTGTTTGTGGACAGAAGACTCATCCCTTTAGGTGTAGACCTAGAAGTGGCACTGCCAAGTAGAGAGAAAGCATATGGCAATTTTCAGTACAGATGGACTTTTCCCAAAGTGTGTGTATTAATTTAATTTCCACCATTGATAAGAGATACAGTGGATTCATGTCTTTGTCAATATTTGTTATTGTTAGTCTTTTTTATTTTAACCACTATAGATTCATGTTGGTATCTCATGGTTTTAGTTAGCATTTACTTGATGAATAGAAATGGAAGAAAGTTTTTCATCTGTTTCTGACTCATTTGATGTCTTCTTTTGAAATCTTTTGCCCTTTTAACAAACTGGATTGTCTTTTTATTATTGATTTACTAGAACTCTTTATTTGGAAATATTATATGTGTGTGTGTTTGTGTGTGTGTGTATGCCTCTCTGTAACTCTGCCTTTCAAATAAAGAAAGTAAATCTTAAAAAAAGAAGATGCATGTGTTCCCATGTCCACTGAAGCATTTTTTTACAATAGCAAGATGAGAAATCAATATAGGTGTCCATCAATGGATAAATGGATCAGTGGATAAAGAATATGCAAACACTAACACACATAGAGAGGAATACAATTTAGCATTTAAAAAGGAAATACTTTCATTTGGGACAAATATGGATGAAGCTGGACACTGAAGTGTAGTAAGTCAGGCATGGAAAAACAAATACTGTATGATCTTACTATAATATGGAGTGTGAAAAAGTAGAACTTATAGAAGTGGAGAGTGGAATGGGATTACCAGGGGCTGTGGCAGAGCGGAGGGTGATTGGGAGATGCTGGTCAAAGGATACAAAACTTCAGTTAGGTGACAGGAATAAGTTCTAGACAACTATTTTACAGCATGGTGACTATAGTTAATAGCAGTCTTTTGTATTCTTGAAAAAAACTCCTAATAGAAAATATTTTAAATGCTCTCATCATAAAATTAAGTAAGTGGGGTCATTTCTATGTCAGTTATATTGATTTACATATTTTATTTTTAAACATGTTTATATTATAATATATTTTATTTCCTATTCATCAATTTAGAAAAATTAAGTAAAAAAGAATCATAGAGACTTTCTGTGCAATTTATGTAAGAGGGAGAGCTAAGGAATCAGTTGTCATAGAAATGAAAGGGCATTCATTGTCTTGTAGAAGGCATGGGAGGGAGCTGTTCTATAGTGATCAGTTTGGATGGTACTTTCATTTCTTAATACCAGGAACTTGAGCTCAGCTGGTCATTAAACATTTGTGTATGCTTTTTTTCTAAAAGGAGAAAGTTGCTAATTTCAGTGCCCTTGCCAAATTTCACTGAGGTAGTTGCAGGAGGGCAGAGTAATGCACAGGTAGATAAAAGGTGGTCCATCCTTCCCAACTCAAACATCCTGTTAGTTCCAGTGAGATGAGTTAGCACTTTGATTCCCTTTCTGTCTTTAAGTGAATTACCATGAGTCATGTGTTCTGCCTAAGAACCTGGCTTCTTTTCAGAGGGGGAAGTGATCTTACTGTATCCTTCACTTTTCTGGAGCCTTTGTTAAGTTTAATTAGCTAATGTATCATAATGCGTTTTAAAGTCTCAGGATAAAGGTTAATATTGTCACAAATTTCTAACTATAATTAATATTAGAGATGTTTAAAATATTTTAAAATGAGCTGTAAAAATATCCCTCATATTCTTGTGCTAATCAGTCCTCAAACTTTCTGAATGCAAATCAAAAATACAATTTACTTAACATAAACTTCATGTTAAAGGCAAAGAAAGAGCCTTATAAATATAATGAAATAAAATGTCTGTTCTTAATCAACACAGTAGTGTTTCTTTAACTCCACTGTCAAACTGACTAATAAGATAAAGTAAATAACTGAATGCTATTTGCAATTTCCAAATAACATCAGTCATTACCAACTGCCCTAGGCTTTTGTTGAGCCAACACTAGACAAAGATTGAGTAATTATCCTTTAATCAGAGCAGTAATGAATAACTGCCCCTTATAAGTTTTGGATATTCAGATTCAACTTTATTTCATTAGGCTTATCTCCAAATCAGAACAACCAGCTGTCTCTTATTGAACATAATGTATGTTTCTGTTTTTAAAATGGAACTCAATAGTGGATGTTCTATGAAAAACTGTGGAATGTTTCGTCTTTGCTTTAAGTCTAAAATACAGAAATCAGTCAATGGGAAATATTTTTCTGGCTTTTGGACTAAATTCATCAGATTTCATCAATAATAAAGAAAAATCCCTTACTTATAAATTTGTTTGCATTTTGGACACAAGCCAGACCTGAAAAAGCAAACATCAATCTTAAAACTAAGATCTGGAGTCAAATAATTCCTTAAAACTTCAGATGTGTGTTTCTGTGATTCTGGTTAAGAGAATAATAATGTTCCAGTAGAAATAATTTATTTTTAAAACTTGACAGAAAGTCTGACAAAATCTGAAAATTGTGTCAAACCACATTTGTTGGGATTAGTAGTCAATGGAAGCCTGAGGAAAGGACACATTCTGATAGCGAATATGAGAAGGTGATATGTGAACGTGTCTCATTCAAAGTTAGCCACTCAGAATATCCACCTGCCTGCAGTTAGTATTTTTAATATGAATAAAATAACTATGCTGAATATTGGTTATTCTTTAGCTAATGGAAAGTAACTATGTGCATCTTTTCTGGAGAGAAATGAAAGCAAAAGCAACCTTTTATTCAAAGTTCTGCCCAGCATCTAATATATTTAAATATTCATGGTGGTTGTAGTCTAGTAAATTCTAGAACACCTTAATCTTACTTGTCTTTCAATCTTTGATACCTTGATGATCAAACACATCTTTTTTTTTTTAACATAGTCACCCTATCTTGTTTCCCTATTCACTGACCATTGAGAAAAATTTCGCATAATGTGATAAGAGTTATGTCAAATATCTTCTTACCTAAAGTGTCTCTACTACTTGTAAAGAAATGTTTCTAAAGTCACTCATTCATTAAATTAAAGTGAGGTCCTTGATGAGAAGTAAGTATTGACTCACAGGATCATGGCAGACTTGCAATGTGTGATTTTAGCTGGACAAGGTTAAGGTGAATGAGGGGACAATGTTTAAAGCCTGAGAATGAGTGCCTCCTTAAATTTTGTGCCCTAGGTGCTTCATCCCCCTTTCCTTGCCCAACAGATGGTACTGGATGGAACAATTAAACAAGAGGCAGGAGGCCTTAAAGGGGCAAGGACAAGCAATTCAAAGGAGCTGTGTGCCCACCAGAGGAAGTAGCTAAAAGGATAATAAATGAAACAGATTGTTGAGAGATGAAGGACAAACTATGCCTACTACACAAATGTCCTTAGGTCCGTGCTAGATTACAGATGGTATTCTCACAAGAGAATGCTACCATTGTCATTAATTCATGATACAAGCTGTTGCAAAAGTATCATCCTAAGTGCCACTTCTTTATGTCCAAATAGGTTTACTTATTAATGTCTTCTGTATTATTTAGTATTTTCCAATTGCTATCATAATTGCTTGATTTTTAATCTTTCTTGTTAAATGGAAATAAATGTAAGCAGAAAGCTCATTCACCACTGAAATAACAGTTTCTAGTACAAGGCTAGGCCTAATGGGCACTCAATACGTACTTGTTCAATGACATTGAATCAGCTTGCTGCTTCTGGGCAATGAGAAAGAATTTATAGTGTATGATCATCTTTCCCTATTTCCTCGCCTTTCCAAAACTGGATTAAACGGGCAGAGATAAATTTAGATCTTGCAAATAACTGAAGACAGAAAAATACACACAAACACATTAACAATATTTCTGAAAATTCTTAATAATGTTCTTATATTTTGAGAGTCGTTTCATATTCTGGATTCAAGTCCTTTATCAGGTACATGTTTTGCAAATATTTTCTCCCATTTGTGACTTGTTTTTTTAATTCCTGCAACAGTGTTTTTCAAAGGGCAGAAATCCTTGATTTTATAAAATCTGATTTATCCTTGATGGATTATATTTCTAGTGTATCTATAAAATCTTTACATATCCCAAGTCAAAAAGATCCCCTCCTTGATTTCTTCTAGATGTTTACAGAATTAGCTTTACAAATAGTTTTATGATCCATTCTGAATTGTTCTTTATACAGGAGTTAAAAGTTGAGATTTCTTTTTCTTTTATATATAGTTGCCCAGCTTCTTCCAGCACCATTTGTTGAAAAGACTACTCATTCCCTATTCACTTGTCTTTGCATTTTTGTCACAAATCAATTTTACAGTATATGTGTGAGCCTATTTCTTGAGTCTTTATTCTGTTCCATTGCTCTATCCTTTCATCAACACTATACTTTGTTGATTAGTATACTTATATCTTGAAATCAGGCAATGTGAATCTTCTGAATTTGTTCTCATTTTTCAAACATTTTTCAACTATTCTAATTCCTTTGTCTTTCCTTGTAATTTTAGAACCATCTTGGTAATTTCTCCAAATGTCCTTGAATTTTAGTTGGGATTGCTGCATCTCTATTAAATTTCCTTTTAACTTGAGCTGTGTCAAATACAATTCCAGTAGGAAGAAAACAAGCTTCAGGTAATAAAAAATAAAATAGATTTTAAACATGTATGAATAACACAAAGATGTTAAACTAGCTGCCACTGATTCATCAAACCCTAGTATTGTAGGAAATGGTCCCTGACTCACAGAGGTAAAGGAGCTATGCAGTTTGTCTGGCATAAAGGAGACAAGTAATACCCCAAGGATTAAATATTACAACCCTTCTTTGTTGTCAAGTTTGTAAAAAATTAAGAGAGTCTTGCAGAAGGTCCATTCACCTTTTTATAGCCAAATTCATAGAGACTCACTCAATCTGAGATGGAAATCTCCTACCTCCCCATAGGAAGGGTTTTCTGGAATGGCAGAAGAGTTTCATGTTATACAGGGTGCTGTATAACAGAGATTAAACACCAGCACAATTATCTGGGAGCTTTCCTTTTTCTTTTTTAATGTTTGCTTTGTCCATAGTACAACATTTCAAAAACATACAAAAGTCTTTCACCTGGGTGAAGATGTATACCTGGTTGGCTGGTCAGTCCTGGGAGAGATTCCTGCAACTGATAGGTTGAGGTTGATGATGATGTCCCATCGGCTGTGTTATTTGATGCCATATACGCTCCATATGTGGATGCTGAGTAATACTGTGCATACTGGTTTTGGCCAAAGGCTGTGTAGGATGGATAATCCTGAAACAGTAATTGAAATGGGTACGTATGAAAGAGAAATTACTCTCCAGCATCCATTAAAGAAAACCAATCACTTTGGTCTATCACTGAAAGATTAGCATTTGGCTACACAGCATTGAGTCCACAGCTTTGAGCTGATCCTAAGGGCAGATACTATTTTGTGTGTATATTTGTTTACAATTTTTGTTTATTCAAGAAGCAGACAGAAACACACATATAGAGGAGGAAACAAGGAGGTAAGCAAAGAGAGAGAGCCCCTATCTAGCTGGTGGTCTACTCCCCAGATGCCGCAGTGGCTTGTGGGCATTGTGAGACAGCAGACAAATCTGGGTGCCAGGAACTCAATCTAGGTCTCTCACATGAGTCCCAGGGACCCAACTGTTTGAGCCATCACTACTGTAACACAGAGTATGTACTTTCAGGAAACGAATCTAGAACGACTACTGGGTATTGAACCCAGGTACTGTGATACGGACACAGGTGGAATCTTACAAGCTAGATCATTTGCCTACCCCTGTGGGTATCTTTTATATATTCATAGTAATGAACTACCCTTATGATTTTTTGGAAACCAGGTCCAGCACAGAAATTTAAATCCATATAAAGTTTGCATACTCTTTTTTTGAAATAAAAGATGCGTTTATTTATTTGAAAGTCAGAGTTACAGAGACGAGAGGGAAAGAGATCTTCCATCCACTGATTACGCCCCAGATTGGTGCAACAGCCCTGGCTGGGCCAGGCCAAAGCCAGAAGCCGGGAGCTTCATCTGGGTATCCTACATGGGTGGCAGGGGCCCAAACACTTGTGTCATCTTCCACCACTTTTTTTCCAGGCCATTCGTAGGGAGCTGGATGAGAAGTAGAGCAGCCAGGACACAAATTGGAGCCCATATTTGATGCCAGCAACGCAGCCTCCAGCTCTACCCATTATGCTGCAACACTGGCCCCAAGCATTGCATACTCTTCATTTTGCTTTCCATAGTTACTTATCCAAGGATTTACATCTTCACAACCTATACACTTGAAGTGGAACAGAGATGGAATCAGTTCTAATACATCTCCCAGCACTGCCACTGAGGGACAGCTGTTGCTGCCCCTCCCAGGTCACATGCAGACATCAATCTGCATTTTTGTAATTTTTGTCCCCCTTCTAGATTACCCTTGAAGATTCTGTCTTCTTGGCAGGAAATAACAAATAAAATACAATGACTAAGAGATGTTCTTAGCTAGCCTGTCACAAACATGTGCCACCCAAGGCCTTGACTTGAAGTCCTTAGTGAAGTGTTCAAATATTTGGTTTCCCCCCTTTGTTACAGAAGAAAATGAAAGCTTTGGACCAATTCCCTGGAACTTTTTTTTTTATTTAAAAATTTTTAGAACTGGAGAACAATAAGAATGATTCTTCCAAACCCTTTTACATATGAAGATGATGACTCAGGTTCTGTTGTGATAATCAGTATTTAATATCGAGCATGTTTTAACCCAAGTATCTGTAATGACAAATCCTTTGTCAGGATTAAGATCCCTTGATGTGACATGTTCTGAATGGAACAAATATCCATGTTTGATGTGGTTTCAAAAAAGGAAATTTTTCACATAAGTCATTGTGTGTATTATCAGAAAGGATCAACTTCTCCAGTATCAATTATGAGCCAAGAAAAATATCTCTTATCAAAATCTGAATGAAGCTCCTACTAGCACATCTTTTTGAATAAAACAGTGAGACAAAGTACACAGTGCTTACTTTGTGTCAAGGCACTGTTTTAAGGGCTTATGCAGATTTGCTCACCTAATCCAGACAACCTTCCATGTGGTATAATTATCTGTGCTTTACATGGAAGGAGACTGGAGCACCAAGGGGTTAAGTGCTTTGCACAAGGTCACACAGCTAAGTTTCAGAACAGAATTAGAACCCAGAGTTTCCCTCTCACATCTGTGTGCTGAACCTGTTAACCTGCTAATGTCCTCAGAGGACAAAGAAAGTCCGGATGATTAGCCTCAGAAAACGGTTTTGTGGATGCAAACATATAAAGAAGGTCTCCCCTTCCATTCATTTCCACTATCGTCACCTAAACTACTTTTATGTCCTATTGCAACCAACATGCTCATTTTCTAATTTATCTCTTTATTTCCATCTTTGACTTTCTCCAAAGACCCTGAAGCCAGAGTAATATTTTCTGAACATAATTTATATGATGGTATTCTCCTGCTCAAATCCTTTAATAACTTCTCATTTGGCTTGGAAAACAATCCAAATTCCTTCCTGTAAACCATAGGGCCCAATGAGAGCTGCCTTATCTCTGTGAATGTGGTTCCCCACTCTCCCATGCACTAATTAAATGCCAGCCTTCTGTAAGCTCAATGACACATGCAGTGTCCCCTCCTTCACGGTTTCTTTGCTTGAAAATGCCTTGCCTTCTTTCTACACCTAACTCTTAGAAGAGCACAGTTCTGCCCTAAATGTGGTTCCCAGCATATAAATCTTCCACAAAACCTCTCATTTTCAAAATTTGATTTCTATTAATATTTTAATAGAGTACTGTTTTCTCCTTTCATACTTTCTAATTGTTTCTTTATTTGTGTGTTTTTTAGATTGCTGTCTGTTTCTCTCAGTAGGTTGCAAGTTCCATGACACAGGACTCAGAACTGACCCACTTCTGCCATCACCTTTGTATCCTCCAATATTCAGAATAAGTACTTGATAAAAGAATACATTTGTACACAGACCATAGTCCAAAATAACAATTGTGTTACGCTGATCTCAATGTACTTAGATAGAATTGGTTCTGTTTTCTGATTAAATATTTATAAATAAGTGTTCTTCTCTTTTATTAATCTTTTTGAAATTTTCCCAAGTAGAGTAAAGCTGATTCCTGTATCACTCTGCCTAGTATATATTTCCATGATTATACTCATTAGATCTTTGTGTCCAAATTCTGTATCTTTAGGAAGACTGTGCTCTTCTAGAAACAGGGAACAATTAATTACTAATTTCAATCTTTCAGGTCTAGTAAAAACCCTAACATATAACAGGTGCAAAATAAATCCCTGCTGTATCAATACATAAGTGAATATAATTAAGTAATCAAAAATTCTCAGTTTTTTATATCAAATATGTTGACTCACGTTACATGTATGATTTGTTAAAGGATATCATTTTTTCCAATTCATTCCAAATTATACAGTTTAATGCCATCATAATATTATTCCATACTATTTTAATAATCAATATTTCCTTTTTATTTTCTGTCATGTTAACAGAACCAAATTAGGCGAATGGACAGAATTCCTTCAATAAATCCAAAGAAAAAACACTTGTGCAATAACTTACATTTTAGAATATGGAAAAGTCTAGTAATCATCTTAAACTAAAATAGTGCACTGGCTGCCCAGAAATCAGCTACTCTTCAATTTCAATTGCTCTGAACATGGTTAAGTACCAGGAAATAAGAACACATTAATCTGAAGTATCAACATACTTCAGATGACTCACTCACTCATGGACACTCAGTCTTGTTCCACACAGTATTTTAACAAACTGGCTTTTAAAATTTACAAGGAAACATAATTAAAAGGAGGAGTAATGTCTACTCAAAGCAGGCACAGTCACAAAGGCAAAAAACAACAGCCATCAGGAAAGCAGGAATCAAGAATTCATTAAAAGAAATTACTTAAATAAAATTTTTTTAAACTTAAAGAGCCGATAGTAGTTCTAGAGTCAATTTGCTTAATAACAAACAATATCTTCCAGGATTGAAAATGTAATGTGGTCTACAGTACTATCCTATGATTGACTACAGCTCAACCTGTTGATTTTCATAACTGTGTTTACCAAGAAAAAAATAAAATTCCATAGTATATTTTATGATAATAGGAAAATGTCTAATACATTTTTGTAACTCTATTTCAAGTAATTAAAATAACTATAGCTGAATGTTTAAAGAATAAACGTGCAGCAACCTAAAAGTCTAAAACAGCCAAATCAACATATATCCCAACATTTCTGGATAGCAAACTTCTTACTATCCTGAAACACTATCTTAATTTTGAATAAAGAAACCTTTTCTAGAATAGTGCACATGTGTATGATAACCTGAAAGAATTCTTCATAAATCTGAAATGGATATAAAAATATAAACACCATACCTGTTGTGAACCACTGAAATTCGTTGAATTGGAAACTGAATTATTTGCATAAATAGTAGATGATGGTGCAAAACTAGAACCTAGAGGTAAAGAACAAATTGCACTTAAGAAGTATTCCTTGTAAAGTGATGAAAATATTTCACTTTGAAGAATTCCACAATAGAAATATATTTGTATTTTGTTGCATAGTCAGTGAAATCTGAAGTTGGGAAAGTGTTTCGGAAAATATGCTTGTCATGATCCCTGCTGCAACAATTGGTAGAGTCTTTTCTATAGAAGTCTGTTGTTCTAAACAGGAACACATGGGAAAAGTCTCCGCCAGGACTGAGGCTAACATTCAGGGGTTGAGTGTCTGCAAGTGCAGGGCTACTCAAAGGATAAAATACCATACATTCTGAGTTAGTCCCAGGAAGCCACTGGAAATTTCAAATCATCACATAAACTGCATTTGCATATAAAATCATTTAAGTTAAATATTTGGACCGGGTTAGGAGTGTAGGAAATAAACACACTGAGAATGATGTTTGGAGTTCCTTGCCATTTTACTCTTTCATGCCCTTTCTTAAAAAAAAAAAAAAAAAATTCAGATTAAGTTTTGAGAGCCTTCTAAAACTTTACTACAGATCTGAAATTCATGGATCTTTAAAGTTAGGACAAAAACAAGTGAACTATCAATTATAGATTCTTCAGAAAAAATGTGTTCTTATAGAAAGTACTTGGCAAGGAGTAAAATCAGACTACTGAGGCAACTGAACATATCAACATTTTTTTTTTTTTGACAGGCAGAATTAGACAAAGAGAGAGAGAGACAGAGAGAAAGGTCTTCCTTTTTCGTTGGTTCACCCCCACAAATGGCTGCTACGGCCGGCGCGCTGCGCCAATCCAAAGCCAGTAGCCAGGTGCTTCCTCCTGGTCTTCCACTGGGGTACAGGTCCCAAGCACTTGGGCCATCCTCCACTGGCTTCCTGGGCCACAGCAGAGAGCTGGATTGGAAGAGGAGCAACTGGGACAGAACTGGCGCCCCAACCGGGACTAGAACCCAGGGTGCCAGCGTTGCAGGCAGAGGATTAGCCAAGTGAGCCGTGGCACCGACTATCAACATGTTTTGACTACTGATATATTAGGTAATCAATGCACTAGATCTAGCCTGAAAGAGCCAATACAAATGTATATGCAGAAAACAAAACAAAACAAAACAAAAACAAACAAACAAAAAAAACAAAGTGCTGTCAGCCTGCTCACTGAAGCTGTGTGGTTCACTGTGGCCATGACGTGTACCCAAATATGTTTCAACCTACTGTCTAGGTAAATGAGACTTGCTGTTTCATAAAATGTTGATATTGGTTGATTCAAATATATTAATATAGCCCCAAATTTATGACTAACAACACAGATAAAATGACAGGTAAGAACTTTCAATGCTTTTAGTGCTAAGAAACATTTTTGCTGCAACTATTACACAAAGATCAATATAATTTTTAATAGGAGTCAAAAACAATGTAAGATAAAAGATGACCCCTATTGAAGTCTGGAGGGGTGTAAATTATATAAGTATGTAGTTACTTCAAGAAATACAGCATCAGTAGGAGAGAGGTATTTCAGGAATGAAGAAAAAAATCTTCCATCACTCAGTGATAAGTAAAACTTAGAAAAGTGCTAATTCACTTTTAAATATAATCAAAACAGCATTACATACCTAAGGAATACAGAAAAGAAAATACTGGTTTGTGCAATGAATCTTTTAAATCGCTTAACTCGACACCAAACGTGTGACTAACCTGGTGGTTGGTTGGCTTTGAGCTTGCTTTGCTTGGCCTTGGTTTCCTGCTGATGTTATGCAGCTTAAACTTAAGTATTTACATTAGGTATGGGTCATGTTTCTTGATGTATATTCAACTGTTTTCAGCATATTTCTGCTCAGTTATTTGTCTTTCTTAAGAAACTGTGTGAGCAGTGGTAAAGTTTAAAACTGATTTCATGACCGGATATTCCTAGTCTGAAGCCAAGGCGTCTCACTCAAAGAATTAGTTCTCACCTAACGCTTTTCGTGTGTGGCTACTTACCTGGCATTTGGTAACTATATGGTGTCTGGCCTGGCTGTGGAGTAGAAAATCCTGGGCTGTAACTGAGGCAGCCACTCTGCAATGGAGCCTGAGTCTGGGAAAGTCCACTCTCTGTCTTGATGGCGGGCAACATCACACCCAAATCTGTTCAGGAAATGCATGAGCAAACCACTTGATTAGTCAGATGATATTCACATACAACAGAACACAAAACTATTAGTCAGCAGGATTACCTGCTTTTAACCAAAGAAGGAGAAGATAGAAGACGTGAAATACCATAAGTGGGCAGGCTGTAGGGCTGTCCTGTCTGTGAGTAGGCTGTGTAGACGGTTGTCTGCTGCATCCCCGAATACTGAGTCTGGCCTGCATAGGCAGACATTGTTTGAGCTGCTGGTGTAGAAAGAATGTGTGGATAGGGCCTAAATATCAGAAAAATAGCATTACTGTGGCAACAAAGACTGCATATTAATTCAGACAGCTTAGATTCAGTGAAGTCCTATACTATCCAGCAAGTAATCTTCCTCCATACCCATAATGTAGCTTTAACCACCTAGGAAAGACCAGGCTCTGCTGCAAACAAGTCTAGTGACCTTGAACAAATCATTTAAACTCCCTAAGTCTACACCTTAACTGTAAAATGAGGAATTTGGTTTCAGTCTTGTATCTGAAGTATCTTCTGAATCTAAAAATGTTTATTTACACCTGAAATAGTACTCAAATTAATATGTAAATGCAGAAAATGCAGCATTTATGGTTAATTTCTACCTTCCTGAGCACAATACCATGTGCAGACACTAGGAGTAATCTCCTGCTAAGCTGTGACTAAAGAAGTTTATTCAAAAGCCTTTCAATAGGAAATTTTAACAAAAACACAAGCAGAAACAAAAACCAGGGAGGAGGCTTCCTGAGAAATAATGTAATGTCATTCTCTACACAATGTTTCATTTTATGTAGCATTCTCCCTGGCTATCCAATCCTCAGCCTTTACTTCAGGACACTGCAGAAAATAACCTGTTATCTTTAAATGGGCATGTTTCAGGAGCAAGCATCTTGGCTCAACTGGCTGATTCCAAACAAATTCAGATACAAACTCAACCTAGTTAAATGTGAAATGTCTATTCCTGTCCTCAATGAAGTAGATTATACCTTAGGCAAAAAAACCACTAAAGCATATTCTCCAAAAATATGCTAATTAGAATTTGAAATCCAATGAAAATATTTCTAAGATGGCATGAATCATGAAGTGTAGATGTTTGTATAAAATGTAATCCCTTTAGATTCAAAGCAGCCAGTACTTTTAAATTGTCATTAAAAATAAAATATATTCAGGCTTGAGCTTGAAGTTTTCCTCAAGGTATAAATATCTAGAATGAAGGGAAGTATCCAGATAAAAGCTGGTATTTCTAATTTACACAGGATATTTATCTGTATTTATGACCAAGTAATATATATCAACCACATATCTCTGATACACTTATAGACATACATGTTTGCCAATTTAAAGTTGTTCTATTGTGTGAATACAAATTAGTAATTATAATTTGGGAAAATCATTCCAGCAAACCTGAAAGAATCTACTGAGTACTTACTTGGAAGGATACAGCTGTGGGGAATACTGATGCGCTGATCTGGGGCTGTAGCCACTACTTGTTATTACTGCAAGACACAAACAAACCAGTGCACAAAATGCTGCTTCATAAATCCATTTCACTACAGTGTACATAACCAGTTTGAAGAAATGATCATTAAAATGTTAAACATATGTTTTGAAAATTAATTTATTTTCTTAAAAAACAGAGAAGTCATTTTCTAAAATGCATTTTCTAAAGTGGAATAGCTGCCTAAAAACTTTCTCTTAATTAAACCACTTCAAGGTTTGTTCTAAGAGCATGCAGTGAACATTCCTCTTCATATTCTCATACTGCTAGCATGCTCTCTAGTATTATGCTATGAATAAACATATTTTATTATAGGGTAATTGAGCTTTTATGATATGAAAAAATTTTAAATGTGTAACCTTTACATTTTAAATTCCAAATATTATGGCACTGTATATTGATCTTGTTCTGTATTTAATTCAAATACACTACAAATTAAGAAAAATCTCATGTTTCATCCTTCATTTTCTAATTGCAAATGCTGTTGTTTTCTATTTCCCTTCATTTTACCAATCAGATGAGTAGTTAAAAAGTGCAGAACCCAAAGTATTGAAGTAATAGAATATACCTAGAAAGTTAGGGGTGACAATAAAACACTTTTAGGAACATCATCAAGAAATGCAGTAGCAACATATTTACAAATATCTTTTGAACTACCAGAGATAAAACTTTTCTGAGAAGAACTTAAAAAAGAAAGTCAGATCCTATTTAAATTTCACCTAAACGTACAACTTCAAACTGGACTATATCCAAAAATTTGGAAGTTTCTCTTTCCTTTAACCATCTGCCTTGACTAAGACAGATGTATTGCAAATATATGGACTCTAAAGTGTTGAGCCAGTCCCTTCAGAGCTAATCCATACTGGGCAAGCACACAGAGTGTCTTTATTAGGCCATCTGCTGTTCATTCACTTTTCAGAAAGATTAAAGTAGTACACAATGCAGTGCTGGAATTAGTTTAGTCTAATCCATCATGGTTATACTTCAAAGTACGATGTCCTTTCTAAGTTGTTCAGAGTAATTCTGGAGCTAAACTTTGAGAATTGTAAAAGTGACAAATAGGTTTAGGTTGCTAACTATTTTATGAAACATGATATATTTCTGTACCAAAATGCTATGAAGTATCCTTGTGATCTATTGCTTCATAAACATGCAGAATTTAATGTGTTTAAAGTGCTATTTTGCCTATAAGCACTGAGTATGAAAAGTGAATTTTAGTTTTTACAACAATCATGCAGTAAACATATGTTCAGGAATATTATAAATATTATATATTATAAATATATTATGTATTATAAATTATAAATATTATAAATCAGTTTTGAAATAATCAGCTATGAGTACAGGTGTTATGTTCTAAGCATTTTCAACAATAAAAATTAAAATGAATTTTCTATATACATATAAGGTATTTCAAAAATTAAAAGATTCATTTATCCTGCCACAAAACAGTTTTGAAATTAATGCATAGTTTTTCTTATTATGTAATTTCCATAAAATTTTAAAGGCCCCTTGTATAGCTGAAAATAAACTGACCAGGAAACCATTCCTTTGCTACTTATTTCTTAAAAACTTAATGTCTGAAACTTTGAAATTAACTTAATGAGAGCAGACTATACTAAAACCATGGGGCTAAAGGTACATTGTATAGCAACAGTGTTATTCCATGAGAAATTCAGTCTCATTATTACTCCCAATAGTGAATACTCTGTTTTGAGAAAATACAGTAAATGAGGCTTAATTCCAGGTTGTTCTGTCTTATGGAATTTCACCTTGGTACACTGAAGAGTTGAGTTACACATATTAATCAGTTATTCTCAAGATTATAAAATACAAGACTTCCTCAGAGATACATCAAACAATGAAAAGAAACATTAACTGCAAAGGCTTTGTATCAAATAAAACAAAGAGCAGAATTATATATTTCAGGAAAAAAACAAATATATAAACATAATTCTGAATATATAGGATGATTTCTACCTCTAAAAAGTGAACCTTCACATCATCCAAACAGTGGACTTCCACACTATCAAGGCTCAGTTAACCTTTAACATTTCATATTAATGTCTACATTTTAACTTTCTACATAGACTGTAAAACCTTTGTCCCAGAAAATAAATATGTTCACATAAGAAATATAAAACAGTTTATGCTTCTTTAATGAAATGGATACATTATTCTATCTCAAAATTTGTAGATAACTGATAACAACAAAATTGGATTAAAGTGAGTTGTGATATGCCAATCAAATAAAAACTCTTCCTACTAAGGGCAGTCTAATCTCTGGAAAAGCTTTACTTTACTTCCCCATTGTCAACTAATCAATCATAGTCAATTACCCAACATACTCCACCTATTGTGCCTCATTATTTCTGAACACAAAAGGAAGCAAGAACCGCTTATCTTCAAAATGTCCCTAAGAACAATTAAAATGAATTTTGTATATCTATCATGAACTTCTCTGAGGTTGGTGTCAAACTATTTAAGATTTTACTCTCATTTTCACACATTTTAGATCAGTGACTCTCACAAGAAATAAGACATCTAAATGTCTGGAGATACTTTTGGTTGTCATAACTGGGGGTACTACTGGCATTCTGGGGTAGATGCAAAGATTTTGATGGACATTTTGTAATACAGACAATAGCTCCCTAACAATAAAGAATTAGCAAAAATTTTAATAGTGTTATAGAGAATACCTACCCTAAGCCATTGCTGATGTACAGAACTTTCTAAAGTGTTGGAAAATGTTTAATATCTCAGTTGTCCAATATAGTATCTACTGAGCATAGTCAGCTATTAAACGCTTCAATTGTGGCTAATTTGACTAGAAACAAAATTATGGATTTTTACCAAATGTTCCTTTGAGTTTCAACAGCCATGTGTGGCTAGTGGCTACTTTATTGGGCAGTAGCGTCCTAGAGAGTTCTTAAAAGAACTGGTAAAATGTAAATAAAATGAGTGAATGAATTTCAAAAAGGATGACTGTTCACACCCACTTCTTTCTCATATTTATGTTTTCTGATGGAGTATTGTAGACTAAAATCCATGACTGGTGGCCAGCACCTAGCTCTGGATTCAGTGACCAGTTATGAGGCCTTGATGATGGGACTGCAACCACCTTGAACTTCTCTGTTTACCTTGGTCTTGCCCTTCAAATGATCAGAGAGCTCTGGAATTCCTTCTAAGGTGAACTTTTATGGTTTTGTCATTTAGTTTTCCATTAGCTTGGAGTGCACTACTGAAGTATGCCAGCAGTTAATTAATAATTAATTAATTAATTAATATTTTTTCCTTAAAATATTTTTCTTATACATTTACTTTGAGTCATGGTAAGTGAGAAATATAGAATAGTAATGGTGGGACCTATCTTTTGGGAGGCAGGTGAATTGCTAGAAAGGGTGTGGATTGGTACATAGAAGTCCCTATGCAAGGTTTATGTACTGCTATTTACTTCTGTTTGCAGTACTGATATTTATGTGAATACATGGCAACTGCTTCCAGTCAGTGTGAAGCAATAAAATTGAATCATATGTATATACAAAAATTAAATATATGCCATAATGACATCATATTTAAAGTCATACCTCAACTTGTTTCACGTAAAGCATACCTACATAAAACCCTTGCATGGGTGAGCATGGAGAAATGCAAAATACTCTTATATTAAAGTAAAATAACAGAAGCAAGATTTAATTGCCATAAATACTTCTCTAGGTTTAATTTTCATCCTTCTGATACACATTCCTCCTAGGTTTAAAAGAAAATCTTTTCACCAGATAATACGCCAAGGTAAATACTGTAAATAAAAAAATAAAAACACTTTAACTAAGTTAACTTAATTCATGCCCATGTGCCCAGCTGGGAGTTATCAGGTATTTATATTTAAAAAGGATTGATGTTTAAAGACACACCATTGTTCTCTTTGAAGCACAGGAGTGCTCTCCCAGGCTGGGTTCTAATGCGACCAGCATGTGCTCTCCCGCAGCCCATTAACCTTTAATACTTGTCACTCAGCTGCTTACACAGGAGGAGTTCTTTAAACCCAGGGAGGAAATAAGGTTATTTAGAAGGAACCAAATGGATAGTTTTACATCTAGAATGTTGGACCAAAGGCAGTTTTAATGTAATTGAAATGAGCAAGTGGAGGGAACAAAGTCGGCTACTACAACCTAATTATTAAATTAATTAAATACTGTATAAAATAATTGCAGAGGAAGCCAACTCTGCTTATCTCTAATAAGAAAGTCATGGGACTGTTTTGCTGTCAGCTGTAAAGCTGGCAAAATGATTCCAAACCTAATTTCCAAAAAGACACAGTTTTATGACAAGTAGTTCTCCAAAAAGGTGAATTTATTGCTACCTTTATAGAGCTCAGCGTTCTAACAGCTTTGATGTTTGTGCTGCTTATTCACAAGGAGGAGGATGTGCGCATACCCCGGTGTGAATGTAACGACACACGAGCTAAAGGCTTTACCTGACCCAGTAAAAGTGTCAAGCGCTCCATCTCCAGTCGTGGTCGTGGTTTCACTGCTGTTCAGGGGCTCTGTTTTGACTGCAAGAAGAGACACTACGTAGAAGAATAAGGACATGTGAGTTTCCTTCTAAATTTATATCAAAGACCCTGACTGTTCTACTAGTGATTTGTCTAGCTACCATGGGCATGCAAGAGAAAACTGGAGAAGTTGATGAGGACAGTTCTGTTAATTTAGCTTCTAAATGGGCATGCATTTACAGAGGATTTAATCTAAAATCCTCTGAACTAGTTCTCTCTGGCTGGCTTTGAAAGGCAGTCAGCCTTAAAGAGTGAAACAGCAATACACATATTTGCAGTTTTAACTCACCTAAGCACACTCTGGTATAGTCAACAGACAGAAAAAAGAGTCAGTCTTCAGCACATGTAATCCAACTCATAACAGAGAGATTGACTAGCTTATATTTTATTCTTCCCAGAAGATGTTTTTTAAAATTTCTGATTTCATAAGAGTATAATGGAAG